CCCCCCCCACTGCCCAGGAACCCCAAGACCCACAACGTGTATTGAGTGGGAAGTGCGAGCCCAGATGACGGCAGGCTGTTGAAGAACAACCCCGATGTCACCGCCGGGGGTGTTTTCAGACCTTGGATGGTTGGGCTTTGCGTTTGGCATGGCATATGACTGGCATCATTAGCATCTACAGATATGCTTGACCTTGCCTTTTGGCAAATGAACGATGTTGATCGTACAAGGATGGGAACACCCTTTCGTAGGACCTTCCGTAGCTCGCCGCAGAGCGTGGTGAAAAAGGAAGCTCGGGGAGTGTTTGGAGGCAGGGTGACGGAAGTGCAAGAGGAAGGAGGAGCCCTCCCAGAGGCGATGTGTTCAAAGTGAACACCAGCATTTGCGTCTACTGCATCATTCCACCTTTGGTCAGTGAGTTGCAATAATAAGGAGGTTTCCCTAGGATGAAATGTTCCACTGATGTGTATATGATGGTATAATATGGTATAGGCGTAGATGAATTGATAGCACTGACCATACCCAGACCATCCACGTATGGAATAGTTACATGATGTTACATGCATGTTTCCCATTTATATCTGTTATATCCATTTATGATCCGATGTATTTTCTGCATGGATGGTTTGGGATAGACTCTTATTCGGACGATCTTGGATGTCGAAGACTAATGGCGGCCGACTCGGACGGCACATGGAGACTATGGGCATTTCCCCAGCGAGTTGTATCCCAGACCCATGTATGATCTCAGCAAGTCGAACACTTATGTTTAAATCAGACTCTCAAAACTTAAAAGCCACGGACTCCCGTGTATAATTTCTGGAACATATTGTATAGCATACAGTATATACCTACATTTATGTGACCCCAGGTCAACCACTCCAACTGATTTGCCTACATGCCACTGCCAGACAGGTCGTCTTTGGGAAACATCGGCCAGGGGTGTCTGGAGAAACATCGGTTTTTTCGTTGGGAAAACCTGCCGCTCCTCAAGGCCAGGGGTGAAAAGAGGAACCTCTCATGAGAGGAATTGTTGAATTGAATGAGCCCACCCAGATGGATACACTCAGATCTGCTTCGTGATGTTTCGTTTTTTGTGTTCTTTTCGATCGCCTGAGGGGAGAGATCGACCAGCTGGTTGCTTCGCCCATGTTCCATGAACTTTCGCCGGTCGATGGTTTGGGGCCGCCCTCCTTAAACGGACCACTTCCGGCGTTCCATGACTTTCGACTGTCAGAGCCCTGGCCTTCAGACTCCCGAACATGGAGCTGTGGTGAGTGGCTGCAGGCTGAATCCAGCATATCAAAAACCAGCTGCAGTTGCTTTGCATTTGTTGGGGGGGCCATTTTCATGGAGAGAGATACCATCGTTTTGAGAAAGGCTTTCCGCGTGTCGCACCCTCCTGACCTCCCGTTGCCGCCGGCCATGGCGAGCTCCAATGGCCTCCAATGCCGGAGGGTTGGACGCAGAAGTGGGGGAATCCTTCCTGGGATCCAGTCGCAGCTTTTCAGGTGCCTACACCTGCGGTGGTGGTGGTGTTGCTCCCCGAAAGCGTTGAAGCCTATTCTGTTTAGCCTTCCCCAGCTCCAAGCACCCCCAAACGCCTCCCAACCTGCAGGAACCGTGGAACCAGGCCCAGAGCCTCGTGCTTCGTTCCACCGAGTCATCAACCCGGTCGACGCCACGCTTCGTTGACGTCACCGGTCGCCGGTCACCGAAGAGTACGACAAGGGTTGAGAGGTTGAGAGACCATGTACCAGCAGTCACAAGACGGGGTGCGATCCATGGAGGTTAGGGGTGCCTATTATCCACTCACTGGATGGGATTAAACACCACCCCGACATGTGCCTATATACCTAATTAGAACCTGATTGACCCCTGTTTTGGCTCATGGTCTTTTCCTATCAAAACAGAGGTCATGTTTGGGTTCTAGGTATATATAGGACCCTGTAGTGGTACATATGGCATGGGCGACAAAAAGGGCTGTGAAAACCTCCCTTGGCGATATGGACCCCAGAATTGATCGTTCAGAGTGAAATAAGAATTTGCTCCCTCGAGAGTCTTGAACACCCAGTTCCTGATGCATTCTGAAACGACTCACCCTCCGACTCACCCACATGCAGGTGCAAGCTGTCCCCTCGTTGTGGAAAGTAACCTTCCAACGAGCCCAGGTGGAACCAGCTCCATGGAATGTGAGGCAGAGTGTACTTCTATTTCCCATGCCAGGCCATGTGTGTAACTATTCCATACCCAGACCATCCATGTCAATGTATGATCATGGAAAAATGGAACACATGCCTTAGCTTTCTGCGGTGTAGCCATAGATTTGGGCCGGTCTCGCCTGGCCCTCGGGCCTGGCCGGTCTCGCTCGGCCTGGCCTCTGCCATCCGACTTATCGACCCGACGAGGTGCTGTGACTGATGCATACCGTGTGACACGCACCTGGTGGAGGGAAAGTACCGAGCCTCGGAGCGATCTCGCCCCCGGGGCGACCGGGGAGCTTGCGAGGGTGGGGACAGACCGGTGAGCGACTCGCGACCGGTGCCGGCTTGATTGAGGAGAACGGGAGTTGGAATGAGGTCAACAGAGGTCAGCCTTTCTTTTTGGAACAGAAGGCTAAAGACTATAGTTAGGGACCTATATAGGGTATGTATACCTTCAGGCCGCGTACACCAAAGATGGTGATGTGGCCTCAGAGATGTTCATCTCCATTGCGGACGTGATTATATAAGAGAACCGGTTTGAACAGCTGCCTGAGAAAGATGGCAGGGTGACTGGTTGTGGTCCAACTACCTGAGTGAGTAAATGTAGACTACCTGAGGGAGTAATGTAGTAGACTCATACTCATGTATTCTTAATCAAGACAAGAGTCTACATGAGTTGGAGCGCGAGGCTGGATGTGGAGCTTCCAGTCGATTGGGCGCCTCATGCATCGGTTCAAACAATGATACCTTGGGTCTGCAAAACGGTCCATGTTTCCCTGGCAATTGTTTGGTACTTGTAGAGTTTGGTATGCAATGAATCGGCAATAAATGAAGGTTCAGGAACATGTGCACAAGATTTGTTTGTTTCCTGTTGGATGTTCGTTCTCCATGCCCGGATCCAACGTGGCCAGCCACGCCGCAGCGTTCCACTGAGGACCCTGTGATCTTGAACAGCCCATGGATCCATGGCCGATCAAGTTGCCGAACTCGGTGCCGTTGCAGCCAAACAACCAGAGACGAACAATGAATATCTGAATATCCCTTGGAAGCCACCACGTACCGCGAGCTTTGCATTATTAAAATATTGAGCTAATGACACCACACCCACATCCTGGATACTATATATGGATGAAAGAATCAGACTGGATGCTGGTTCTTGGAGTTTTTCAAAAGGGAAGAAGTCCTGGGAACACAGGACAGAGGCGACGTTCGACTCTGGTGAGTGAGTCTTTCGAAGCACCCCAAAATCCCAGACACTCCATGGGACTGGTTTATTGACTATATATCGTACTGATTGGGGTGGTTTCAGGGTCAACGTAGCTGCCAGGGGTCTTGCTGTTGTTCGGTGTGCATGACAAGCGCTCAGGCTCCGACGGGGCACTGGACGAGCGCTGAGCGTCGTTTGGCTTAGCTACCTGCTGCTATGGTGCCTTTTCTTGCACACGTTCGTACTGTATTTGCAAGGGCGGGTGTGGGGGACAGGCTCCAAGCCTTGTAGCATTTGATAGTAAGTATTCACTTTAGTAAATATTCACTTCAAAATTGCAATCATGATTGCTTAACATGATTGAACAATTTGTTCAACCAAGATGTTTGTATACAGCTATGTGTTTCATTACTGTGCTATGTAATGCACTGTACACGATTTTTGGAGGTTGTGCGACCTGCTCTCATCCAGTTTTGTTGCGGCGCCTGCCATCCATGGAATATACATCTACATCTGCCCGCTTAAAACGCAACTATTCCACACTCCAGGAGTGTTTGGGTAGAACGACGTAGTGCTGGACACGTGTTGGGTGCCGGTCACGGATGCGACGGATCAGAACTCTGCATGCAGGTTCGAACAGTGCCAGTCAGACGAACGGATGTGAGCTTTCTGAACTCTCCGTTTGCTCACCATTTGTGTGTTGCTCACCGTGACAGGGAGAATTTGGGAAGTCTTTGGGGATACAGGCCGTGACTCAATTTAAGCTGTCAATTTTTCCTGGGTCGAATTCTTGATGAGCTAAAGAAATCAAAGGGTCGTTCAGCAGAGAGGTCTTTGGATGGAGCAGATGTGAGTTGTTCCGGATGATCCGAAGAATGCGGTGTTGCAAGAGAGTTCAGGTATGGTGCCAACTATGGGAGAGACTTGGATGCGCAGGGAAGACCAGGTGTGTGGGGCTTCATGCTCATCCAGGGACGGCTCCCCTCAATGATCATTGGGATTTTGAGGAAAACAGGAATCATTTCTGAGAACCAGACAGTCATGCAGTCATGCACGGTTGTGCCAGGAAATAACGGCACGGCAAGAGACTATTGCAGTCGCTTGGGGCAAACTGGCCTCCAGGAAAAGAGAGCCCGAGAAGGTAACACCAGATGGGCAAGATCACGGACACAGATCGCTCAGAACGTTCTAGAATCTAGCACACTGAACTGGCGAGAGCCGGTTCTATTCCCATTCCGGTTACAAAGAAATGCTGAATGGAGGATAGGGGTGCTTAGTCCACTCGCTTGGGGACTGAAAACCACTATAGCTTTGGAACTGCGCCAGCTTGCGCTATCTTAGCAGCTCGTCATCCTTTGGCTCACCCACATGACCCACATGAAAGACCTGTCCTGTGGTCACACCCAGCTCGCAACATCCAAGCAGCGCCCGAACCACCGGGAACCCCTTCACCTCCGTGGTCGTTCACTGGTCGTCCCACATCCGGACGGGTCGCCCTCACGGCGTCTCGGAACGTCTCGGACGCCACGGCCGTTGGAGGATACCAACAAATCATGGCTTGGGCCTATGAGGTGGAGTCCCCAGCCGCTCGGGTCTTTCGGGGCGCCCGAGCGGAAGTCTGTGGATCTCGCCTGTGGAGGGAAGTCTGTGGATCACCTGTCGCCCTTCTTTGGGGGAAATATATGGGGCACCCAACGGAAATTCAAGAGGGAAAATTTTCCAGGGACACTGAGGGGGTGAGCGTCACTCAGTGTATGCACTCGGTGAACGAAATGCCTACCTTGACCTGAAATCAACCCCATGAACTGATCGGTCCATGTTATTTGATATCTGTTGTTTTATGTTTATGTATTATTTTGGTGTGCTGTGTGTTGTCTTTCTGTTGTGCCCTTTGGCGCATTGACTCCCATTGACGCCTTTCTTGGACCTGTTGGATTTGGACGCCGCTGTAGTGCTAACAATGCTGCCCGGGCAGGGCGGTATGGCTGGAACTATGTGTGTTACTTTTCCTGATTGATAGAGGACAAGAAGAAAAGGGAGAACATGGAGAAGCAGAAAAAGTGTGTAGAAGAGCAAAAGTGAAGAAGAGCAAAAAGAGCAAATGAAGGAGAACAAAGCAAGGAAGGACAATAACTACAGCAAGAGCCAAATGAAGAATAAATACAAATTAAACATTGGTTGTTTTGTTAGAAGGATCGCGAGAAGAAGAAGGAGAACACGTCGAAGAAGAAGAAGAGGGAGAAGCCTTCAGAACACCATTGGACGGCCAGAAAGTACGCTGCTCGCAGCGAGCCAAGTGGAGGGGCCTCGGCATGGCGGTTCGGCATGGCGATCATCCTGGCGATCCGTGTGTTCTGCTGTGCGTGCGTGTGTTGTGCGCCGGCCTCTCCTGTTGTTTGTTTGTTCCACTCACGGCCGGCAACGCCTCCTCCAAAGACATGGCGTTTCGGCAACGTGCTCGAGCACCAAAGAGCGTGTTGCCATGTGCAACGAAGGAACTCAGCCAGTCAGTTTGCAAAGAGTAACATGTGGTGTCGCCGTGGCTGCTTTGCTACTCACGATACGTTTTACATCAAGTAGCACCGCGGCAACGTCCAGATAAACAGTGCAGCACTACTGTGGAAATTGGGGGACATCCTGCTCATAAACATGCTGTATATGATTAATTGACAGACTCCCAAAGGGGTGCGTCCAATATAGTACGATGATTAACTATACTTAATTATGGAATCATACGTGATTCATGTCAATTCATGTGACAGTGCTTTTGACTTGGCAGTGAGCCTTGGTGCAATGTGGTTTCACAAAGAGTGCATCAATTTCAGGATATTTTCAGGTTCACCAAGAGTCGACTCACAAGTGATGACAAGGGGAAACTTGTGCCATCGCCCATGTTGCATCACATTGCACTGGACATCAGCCCCAAAAGAAAAGCATTAACCAAAAAAACGCTAACAGAAACAAAAAACAAACAACCATTGAGATGGCTCGCCCAAATCTAAGGACTTTGGCCCTGGTAAGCTGTGAAGTGTTTTTTGCGTCCCACACCATCCATCACAAAGAGACCATCCGACACTTCTGGAAGATGACCACGCACCTTTTCGATCGGAGCTCGGTAATTACACGGGTGGTAGTGTGAAGAAAGCAGGGGCTCCGCGGGCTGCTGGCTTGTTGGCTGTGCGACCTCGCCTCGTCTTTTAGGGAGCCCCTTGGCACCAAGGCTTGGTTTTGCTACGGAGCCCTTTGGCCGCAAAGTGGTGGGGGATAGGCTTGGCCATTTGTTTGGCACCATTCTATGTTGAGGAATTGATTTCCGTGGACAGCAGGTGGAGCAGGTCAGCCTTCTTGTGGCCTCCACGACAGCATGGGTGAGTCGTGTACTTGTAGTTAGAGGACTTGAATTCCAAGAGCGCCAAGGTGTTCTTTGGGATTGTTGGGCTTGAATTTGAGTCTTGGGCGATGCTTGGGTATTTCAAGGGTTCTTCAAGAGACTTGAATTCTTGGGCTCGAACATCGAGTCTTCGTCATGTCTTCGCCATGGCTGCGGCGGGTTCCGTTGGACACCGAATCGCTTCAACGGGACGTGAACGGTGCTGAACGAACGGTCACGCAGTCGGGATGGAACACGTTGGAACTCCTGGGACACAAACCATTTGCTAGACGCGACCTGTTTGGGACTGGAACATATTCCATAGTTGAAACACCCCTGGGCGCGTAAATCTTCCAGTCCCAAACAGGTCGCGTTTTTTGGACATGAGTCCTTCAAGCACCTGGAGCCCGGGCAATCCATCAATGCAAGTGAAAGACCTTCCAGGTGGGTCAAGGAAGGTGATTACCCAGAACCTCATCAGGCAATTATTTCCGGCCAACTGCATTTAGGATATTTAGGCAGAAAATTCTGCCCGCTTTCACAAAGAACGTCCCCATAGTGTTTGCCCAAGAAGAGGTTCTAGGTATGTGACTATCCTAGTTTTGACTACAGCCATTGCTTCCAGATCGTGGTTCATACATGTATTGTCACATGCGAGTAACATAGACGGCTCATTATAACCCTTTACTCTATACTTATTACTGAATTGAAGACGTTTTAGAATCCCAAATGGGGTGTTTGAAATACCATCAACCGTCTACATGACGCATCCTCAGCCAACACGTGGCTAACAGAGGCGAGGCATGGGTGAACACCATGGCCGAACAAGCGGTCCCCCTTTCTTTCGGAACGCAAGGCCCTCATGGCGAAGGACGCTTTTCCGAACACGAAACGCCAACCAACGCCCTTTGCGATGGCCTCCAAGCGCAATGGCCTCCAATCAGTTCGAACGCTATGTGTTCTTTTCATGTCTTTTCCATTTCAGAAGCCTTCAGCTGTTGTGTTTGCCGAACGCTCAGGTCGTTATATGCACGATTATATGCAGTCTGGTGGTGAGTCTTTGCGCCTTGGCAGTCGACGTGTGACCGTTCGCCCGGGCGCTTGCGCCCGGCTGGACTCGGTCGCGATCGTCGCTGGATCGTCGCCTTGTGCGAAGCCCATGTGATAGGTGTCTCCGGTGTCTCCAGCGTCTCCAGGGATGGGATGTGGCCAAAGACCTGTAGTTGAAACGCGTGAACCACTAGGGCCTAGGGTGGCCATGAATATTCTGCACTCCATAATGGAAGTGGAAACCACCTGGGTGGTCCGGTCATCTTTCCGAAGCTATCCACTTCCTTGATTTTTTGGGGAGTGTGTGGTGAACATTCTCGTCACACAACTCCCACGTCCAACTGAAGAAATGGTGCGACGTTAGGAAGGTTAACCCCCGTTTCAAGACGCAGTATCACGACATTTTAAGATATATATATATATATAATATATTATAGACATGCATATAGACCAGAGACCTTTGCTTTCAGATGGCGCATGTGTTGCCGTCGTTATTCCAAGCTTTGCGATAGACTATGTGAAAGGAAGGCAGTTGTTAATTAACGCGTTCTGAAGCTTTGGAGGCCCTACTTCCTTAAGTATGGTACCTTTGGAGTCACTCCCAGTCAGTCCTGAAACGTGCAGCATTGAGCCAAACTTCAGGGATACAACCTGGAGGGAGGGTGCATGATCCTATATGAGCGTGAATCGTAAGAGCCCCTTGCAACACGTCCTGGTCTCGGTTTCAGTTCCAGGTGGTTTCTTCGTCCACGCAGAAACACTGGACACGTCACACGTCCTTTCATCGAAAAACAGCCTGTCAGGCCTGGTCATTTGGAGCAAGAAGACGCGGCTTTGGCAGAGCGCTGTATTCACCATGACCCTTTTGTTGGCCATGTTCATGCCTCCTGGCGGGGCTTGACCCATTGAGTCAAATGCGTCTTTTTTTGCTCCACATGAAAAAGTGACACAATGGCAGAGAGGTCGAGAAATCTGAAAAGATGAGTTTGGGTTTGCTGTCCATGGTCTATTCAACAAAAGGGTAGGGGAGATGTAGGGGAGCAAATTCCGCAGGGGACTGAAGATCATTGAAGATCCTAGATTCCCATGCTAGATGGTCGGATGCTTCCATCAGAAAGAGTGCAGCATGACGCTGCATTGCGTGGCATATGATACATCTCAGCTGAAGATGTTGATTGTTCGTCATCGGTAGCTGCTGGTCGATTGACATCGCTTCACTCAGTGACCAATTGTCAGACAGAAGTTGCCATTGGACTTCAATCTTCGTGTTGGTTTCCCACTGTGTGCACTCTACGATGAGTGCAGAAGTTGCCTTGTGCTGTCCTGTTGTGTATGTGTTTATATGTTCCTTTTTTTTGCGGCGACTCTTGACGATGGACTGGGGGGGAAGACCGGTTGTGCCTCGGTCGTGATGCAGGAAACCAGCGATGCGGTGATGCCGGCGTTTGAAGGGAAAAACTACATTGCCCAAAAGTAGTGATGGCACTAAGATGCAGTCAAGTGACATCACTGCAACATGGGGTCATGGCATCACTGGGTGATGGCATCACAAATCAAATACAAGTGATGGCACCAAGTGACCCCATGACCATTGTGTTCTTCTTTCAGGTCGGTGGTGCCGTCCGTGTGTTTCTTCACGTTGGTGCCCAGGCAAGAGGTTCTTCTATCCCTACTGCAGCCGGATCACGTGGTCCTTTCTGTGGCTGCGATCCTTTGTCACTGCAATGTGCATCCCATTTTTCTGGTGCTCATGATGCTGGGTTTAATCGCAGACCTGGGGCAAGAGCTGCTGTTTTTCTTGGATACCAGCGGTGGTGACTAAGCTGAAAGAAGGAGCGGCTGCAAACGCGGAGAGGGGTCCATTCTTGTCGGAATCCGTATGAATTTTCCCGATTCCTGCAGTAAACCCAAGTTAGAACAGTTGTGATAGGCCACCCCTTTGTTGAGCGACTATAGCTTATAGGGGTTGGGTAACTCAGTTCGGCTTCTGA